AAAGATTAATTTCCAAAATATATAAGCAACTTATACAACTGAATACCAGAAAAACAAACAATCCAATCAAAGAGTGGGAAAAAGACCTAAATAGACATTTCTCCAAAGAAGGCATACAGATGGCTAACAAACAAATGAAAGGATGCTCAACATCTTTTCATGAGAAGAAATGCAAATAAAAACCACAATGGGATATCACCTCACACTGGTCAGAATGGCCATCATCAAAAAGTCTACAAACAATAAATGCTGGAGAGGGTGTGAAGAAAAGGGAATGCTTTTGCACTGTTTGTGGGAATGTAAATTGACACAGCCACTATGGAAGACGGTATGGAGATTCCTTAAAAAACTAGGAATAAAACCACCATATGACCCAGCAATCCGACTCCTAGGCATATCCCCTGAAGAAACCAAAACTGAAAGAGACACATGTATCCCATTGTTCATTGAATTACTATTTACAACAGCTAGAACATGGAAGCAACCTAGATGTCCATAGGCAGATTGAATGGATAAAGAAGTTGCAGTACATATACACAATGGAATATTATGCAGCCATAAAAGAAACACATTTGAGTTCTAATGAGGTGGATGAACCTAGAACCTATTATACAGAGTGAAGTAAATTAGAAAGAGAAAGATAAATATTGTATGATAACACACCTATACAGAATCTAGAAAAATGGTACTGAAGAATTTATTTATAGGGCAGCAGTGGAGAAACAGAGAATAGACTTATGGCCATGGGGAGAGGGGAAGAGAGGGTGAGATGTATGGAAAGAGTAACATGGAAACTTACATTACCATCTGTAAAACAGATAGCCAATAGGCTATCCTGTATGGCTCAGGAAACTCAAACAGGGGCTCTGTATCAACCTAGAGGGGTCAGATGGAGAGGGAGATGGGAGGGAGGTTCAAAAGGGAGGGGCTATCTGTATACCTATGGCTGATTTATGTTGAGGTTTGACAGAAAACGGCAAAATTCTTTAAAGCAATTATCCTTCAATAAAAAATAATTTTTTTAAAACTGTCAAAAATGGACCAATAGTTCCCAAATCATACATTCCATTATAAACGGTACTAAAAAGTGTAATATCTCAAAGTGTTCACTCTACATCTTTTCTCTATGGAATAAATAAAAATAATCTTCATTTGGTGGCTTCTCACCTCTGTCCCTCATCTTAGTGGTATCTAAGGGGCTTCCCTGGTGGCTCAGATGGTAAAAGAATCTGCCTGCAATGCCGGAAACCCGGGTTTAATCCCTGGGTCATGAAGATTTCCTGGAGAAGGCAATGGCAACACACTCCAGTATTCTTTCCTGGAAACCGCTATGGACAGAGGAGCCCGGTGGGCTACAGGCCATGGGGTCACAAAGAGTCAGACAACTGAGCAACACTTTCACTTAGTGAGATCTAAGAATGTGTCCTTTCTACATGAAACCAGCTATCTTATTTCCAGAAAAATACTGAATTATTTTATTTTAGTTTTGTTAGACATGACTGGTAAGATTATGTAATCTACCAAAAAAAGTCTAAAAAAGTAAGTATATACCTTTCGTCTTACCTAAAGTTTAACCTTCCTTTTCTAGCAACCCTAACCAACATAGGTTTTCCCAAACTGACCATTTACTTTATTAAATCTTTGTCTTTATAAGGGACATTCTGTCTATCTGGAATCCACTTCCTTTTCTTCACTGTTCACTTATGTAAATATCTACTCTTTCTTTAAAACTCTGTTCAAATTTCATATTCATGAGGCTTTTTCTAAACATCTCTTTCTAGACACACACACACACACACACACACATACACACACTTAATTGCTTTCTCTCTTCTTGGCCCTTCAATAACACTCTATAGGTTAATTCACTGAATTAGAATTATTGGTCTACATTTTCTTCTCTTATTAAGATTGAGAGATCATAAAGGTCAGGGAACATCATTTATTTATCTTTGGATCCTATGCTGCCATGGTAACAGGTACTCAATATATATCTGTAAATAATTGATTGCATAGGGTATGCTGACTTTTGCAAAAATTATCCTTAAATTCTAAAAACTAATATTGTTACTTTTCTATATGGAAGTCAATATCTGTGACCATATTGAGCAAAAGTAGGCATGCCATTTTAAATAGATTTATGTCAAATAGACTTATTATAGTGATCATTTTGCAGTATATACAAATATTAAATCATTATGTTATACATCTGAAGTCAATATAATGTTACACATCAATTATATCTTGATTGTTTAAAGTATTTTTTAAAGTTTAAGTTTTAAATTGTTTTCACATGATATACATTTAAAAATTTATAACTGAAAAAACGGGGTAAATCTAAATTTACTTGTCAAAATTAACTCATTTAGAATATAAAATATGTAAAGGGGAGAGATCTGAGTCAAATAATACTTTCAAACTAGAGGGTAAATTGAATGCTAGCTTTTGGGATCTATTTGAAAACAAGTCTTACTGGTTAATTTAAAAAAGTTTAGAAGGGGTAGCTGAATTAAGGGCTAAATATCTCTACTCTAATTATTTTGGAAAGAGGTCTCAGCAAGAAGGATCAATTGTGCCTTACCTTACCAATTTATACACAGTCTGCAATGACCCAAATTGTATTTTATATTCTCTTTAGCTCATTTTAAGCTAGGCCAAGACATTTTCTATTTTAAAAACAAATAAGACTAGAAACCAAATTAAAACCGATTTATAAAATTATCCATTTAGGATACATAACATTCCAGTAGGTTTACTGATTTCTTCCCTATTACCTTACTGATAACCACAAAGATTAAATTTTCTGTTAGGATGATTAAAATGATTTTACTAAGAGTGTGCCTAGATGCTTGCAAGAGAGGAAGCAGAGTTATGAGTTCCAAAATAGCAATATTTGAAAACATGTGCATGAAAGAACTTTTGTAAGCATTCTTGGAATTATTTACTCTTTTTCTATTCCCCCCACCCTAATTAAAAAAAAAAAAAGGAAAGCTTTGGGTGGAGTTAACTCTTTTCAAATCTTAAACAATAACTGGAAATCCTGAAAATGTATTCTTTATCCAGTGGGGAAAACACTTTAAAGCTCTTTTTTTTTCCCTCTAAGAATTGTTTAGCAAGGGAATTACTTGGTGGCTTCTATTTTGAACAGAAAATTCAGTTTAACTGCCTGAAATATTATGCCATCTGTGTTTATTTCCACCATCCACAGAACACAATTCTGTTTTTCAAACATAACAAGTACATGGCCCTAAAAACCTAGATAAATATATAACTCAATGAATTCTTTACCAAGTGATGAAATTAGTTCAAAGGACAGGTACCATTAAAAAAAAAAAGGAGAAGAATCTGATTGTAGATATGAAACATGTAAAGCCCAATGGTAAATTTAAAAATATTTAAGTACTTTGATTAATAACTATTTATGTCTTCTATATATATTGATCAGGGTGGAGGTATCTGTGAGGTGAGAAATAGTTCAACGCATGCCATGATGCAGTTAGTGGGCAGAAACCTGGGCCAGGTGCCAGAGGACCAAAGAGTCACAGAGGCATTCTGACTCCAGGCTGCTCAAACCTATACCACCTACAAGGCCCACTCACACGTCTACCTGGAACAAGCAGCCTCTGGCGTGTGAAGACCACTCAAAAATCAAATTTGAATTTAGTAATCAAGTACTTAAAAAGCACGAAGTGATATACAAATGTGGAACATCATTATTTGTCTTTACTTAAGGTATTCTGAACTGATTCTTACCATTCTCTATATGTAAGGGGACTTAATGTTTTTCTAGCAAGTCTTCAATGAGGAAAAATTCAAACATTTTATTTAGAATTTATACAGACCTCAAAGAATGTTTAAATTCTATTCATCAGTCTTTATGACAACCTGACATTTCTTCCATCGCCATGACAATCTTCAAAAATATCCTGAACTCTGATTCTTTCTGGCCTTATTCAGGGAGACATAATCTCTAAGATCAATCCCACTTTGCGTCTAGAAAGTGTATGCTATGCCAGGTTTCCTGTCCTCAGGAAACAGAGGATGATTTACAGACCTTGGTCACGCACGTCAGTGAGGGATCTTTCCTTGGCTCTACTTAAGCCTTCATAGAACACAGACTAAGTCACAACAGAACAGTTTTCAAATCATCCTGATTGTCACTTGAAAAATACAAAGTAGGGAGGATAGAAGCAGACTCCTGAAAGCCTTGAGTGATGGTCGCCCCTGGGTGAAATTCATATGTTCCTAATCCTCTGTCTTCTATTTCTCACCTTGAAGGTGTCTGTAGAAGGACAGAGTTGCACAGTTCAGACATACAACCCTGCAGGCAGCTTCTGCTTGTCCATTTCCCTTACCCAGAGCATCTCTAAAATAAATTCTTAATTAATTATAGACAAATGCTTAACATATTCTCTGTTTTATGTTTCACTGATTTTTGTAGTTGCTTATCAGGTTACACTGTTGCCACCTAGCTTTTCTTAGGCTCTAATCTTGTTGCCTGAAGTTGCTTAGGTAAAAACTGACCTTTCATGTCTCAATTGTTTTTTATTTATAAAGTCTCTTTCCCCTGATATCTACTGGATGAGTCTGACAAATACATGGGATGGCAAAATAAACTGGTTATCATTAAATGACAACTTCTAATCTTTCAACAAAGCAGATAAAAACATGTCATTAACAATGTTAAAAAATGGACCGATATTATGAATATGATCTACTTAGGACATTATTATTACTATTATCATAAATACAAACTAAGCAATAAAAGAATATCTTTTAAACTTCTAATAAAAGCAATTTATGTTGTATATTAATTTATACATTTAGTGAAAAAAATATGACACATTAGACTGTCATGAGTGTTTAGAATCTCCAGTAAGGATTTTATGTCAACAACCAATCTTAAAATTTCCTAATCAAAACTATAACTTAGCACTTTTTGAAAACATAACTGGGCAAAGGAAAGAGTATCAATATTGCCAAATGTGATTAATACTCACGAAAGAATATTCCCAATATAGGCATAGTAGGAGCAACAGTAAGGTGTGGTTCCATCACAGCAGTAAGATTTGCAGTCTTTGCCACAGTGAGCAAGGCAATCCTCTACAAAATAAAAACCACATCCACAGTTACTATTCTAAAATCGCAGTTTTACAAAAAAATTACTTTATTTTACATCTTAATTGATCAATGACCACTTTTTAGTGCATTTAGATTTTCAAAGTGCTCAGAATTCTAAAACATTTGTAAACATTTAAACTAATTCCTTGTTGTTCTTTAGTTGCTAAGTCATGACTGAGTCTTTTGTCTGTAGCCCGCCAGGCCACTCTGTCCACAGGATTCCCCAGGCAAGAATACTGGAGGAGGTTGCCATTTCCTTCTCCAGAGGATCTTCCTGACTCCAGGATCAAACTTAAGTCTCCTGCACTGGTGGGTAGATTTTTTTTACCATTGAGTCACCTGGGAAGCTCCCTTCCTCTTTATCAAACATAAATCTAGAAAAGGCACAGACCATTCTTGGAACCTCCTGCATCAAGCACCATAACTGGTAGTCAGAGTGGGTTGAAAGAGACAATGAAGGGAGAATGAATGAACCAAACAATCAGACATTCAATTTGTCAACAGAGTTCCTACAATAAATTTTAAATGATAAAGTCTTTTGACTTCAGAATGTTAATCCTAAATATATTTGATGGAAAGTGTTGACATGAAAGATAACAACTGGAAATCATTTTAAAATACTGAATGTTTTTCATGACAGTGCATTATATGCTTTTCTCTACCATTTTTGTCTTCATAATTATAGCGTGCATACATAAGGTAACACATATGAGTCTGCATATCCTGTCAATCCATTTGGAGTCAGTTGTGGGAAAAAGTTTCTATAGATAATGAACTGGTGAATAATTAAGAGTATGTTTAATGTCAGAGTTATGAATCAATAAGCTATGAAACAGCACTATGTGAAGGGGAAAGTATTTTCTGATTTAAAAGGACATACCGGAGCTGACAAAACCAAATTATTGTCTTTTCCCCATGTTTTTGGCAAGGAAAATTATATCAAATGTTGAATAAAAGTTACCCTACCTATAAAAAAATTCTTTATTTCATCTAAATGATTTATATTTAACAAGTGAAGGCTATCTTTTAGCTATGTGTGCACTAAGTCACTTCAGTCATGTCCAACTCTTTGCAACTCCATGGGCTGTAGCCCACCAGGCTCCTCTGCCCATGGGATTCTCCAGGCAAGAATACTGGCGCGGGTTACCATTTCCTTCTCCAGGGGATTTCCCGACCCAGGAATCAAAACTGAGTCTCTTATGTCTCCTGCACTGGCAAGTGGGTTCTTTATCACTAGCACCACCTGGGAAGCCCTATTTTTTAGTTGCAATCAGTTATAATCAGTGGTATAAATTATAATGAGTGAGTTTATAAATATAAATATAAAAATAAATATAAATATACTCATATAAATATGTGAGTTTCAGGTACACGTAAGAACACTTGTATAAGTATAGGCTGATAATTTGAGTTACATATTCAAGAATCACAAAAGAGGTCATTTCCAATTCAATCTCTGAAGGCAATAATTCTTATAAAAATTATACAAGACTTTTGTTTTCCTGTCAAAGTCATAATATAAAAGTGCAAATGTTATATTTATGCCTGCAGGTCCATGTAATTGATTTGTTTAGAGAGGGAAATATAGTTTTGGCTTTTAAATCACCTCCTTGACAAAATGATTCTTTACAAATTGATGTGATCAAAAACTAGCCAAGTTCATTCACCTCTATCAATAATGCATGACCTTTGTGGAATAAGCGAAAAGTTCATGTTTTCTTTCCCTCAATTTTATTTCTACTTCATAAATGAAAAAACCTTAATGTTTTCTTCAAGGATGTGGTAAGAAGGCATGAAAGGGGAAAATACTCACCTTTGTAAGATTCAGTAACTCTACTTAAATCCACTTAAAAATTTTGAAGACAGAAACATGATCTAATGATTTATTGACATTAATGCTTTTTGCATTAATATGCTGTGTATGCTTTTTGCAATTTATTTTACCATTTCCCCAGGGGATTTCCATAGCTCTCATTTTTAGTACAGTTTAATTCAAATATTTAGACTGCTCAGTTATGTCAAGCATGTGCTGGGATGTTCTGCTTTGTATACTTAAAAGTCATTCAGACAGTGGGAGAGCTGACACCCTGCCTTACTCTGGTGGAGCAGGACAAGTGATATTTCAGTAGTTTCACGGGATCCTTTCTGAACGACACCCAAGACAGAGACATTTTATTAAGCTCTCCATGATTATCAAAGATTCAATTACTATTATTATAAGGACACAGTGTTATCAAAATATTTTGAGTCAATGTTTCTGGAAACCAAGCCCCAAGTCTCGTTGCCAAGAAGCCGGATTATACCTGCAGCAAATATCTAGATCCTGTCATACACTGTTCATTATTTTAACGGCATTTTCCAGCACTTTAGTCTGTTTCCCAGAATTAAACAACTGAAAGTGTGTGTTAATCGCTCAGTCATGTCTGACTCTTTGCGACCCCATGGACTGTAGTCCGCCAGGCTCCCCGTCCATGGAATTCTCCAGGCAAGAATACTGGAATGGGATGCCATTTCCTTCTCCAGGGGATCCTCCTGACCCAGGGATCTGAAATAACTGAAAAGGGAAGATTCAATAGCATGACAAATACACTCACAATCACATTTCCAAACCTGGATGTCAATCACATCTCAAACTTCTTTTGAGAGGTTACTTGCTTTCTCCGGTTCATTTGAAAATAATCCTATAAAGATCACAGTTTGGACAATATGGAGACAACTTCTCACTTGTGAAAGCGTGAAACATCCCAATGGCCCTCAGAAGATAAATAATATTACTACTAATATTCAAGTTAATATTCTTGAAAATTAGCCAGTTCCAATTTTTTTCAGTGACTTTAAGGCAGGATCTGGAAGAAGTCTCCCCACTCCCTTCTCAAGGAATGTGTAGAACAGGAAAGCATCTGGCTCCAAACACTTGCTCAGAATTGGCTCTTGTAATCTACAGCTAAGGATCAGAAGGGAAGGAAAGGGAGGGGACAGAAATCACTGCACAGGCCAGGAAGGTTAAAACCTTGGCCAAATCCTGCCTTTGTAGCCTGCAGTGGGAGTTAGATAATCATATAAACACTCCCATGGATTTCTTTCCAAAAGTGACTCCAAAGTCAAACATAATGCTTCAGGTATAGAAACCTTGCTTTTATTTCGCTGACAAATGGATCCTGTATTTAATATATTTTCTTTGGGGAAAATAATTCAGGTTATGGACAGCTTCCCAGGTGGCTCAGCGGTAAAGAATCCACATGCCAATGTCAGAGACTTAAGAGACCTGGGTCTGACTCCTGGGTTAGGAAGATACCCTGGAGAAGGAAATGGCAACCCATTCCAGTTTTCTTATCTGGAAAACTCTATGGACGGTGGAGCCTGGTGGGCTACAGTCCATGGAGTCGCAAAGAGGTGGACATGAGTAAGTATGTGTGTGTGTGCGCACACACACACGTGCGCACACACACACACACACACACATGGATAGCACATCGACAGGTTTTTGTCCCATTGAAGCTGGCAATTCAGTTAACAGGGTGTCTGGATCAATCCTGGACTTCCCTGGTGGCTCAGATGGTAAAGTGTCTGCCTACAATACAGGAGACCCGGGTTCAATCCCTGGGTCAGGAAGATCTCCTGGAGAAGGAAATAGCAACCTACTCCAGTATTCTTGCCTGGAAAATGCCATGGACGGAGGAGCCTGGTAGGTTATAGTCCATGGGGTCTCAAAGAGTCGGACATGACTGGGTGACTTCACTTCACTTCACTTCTGGATTAATTCTATTTCTGTAGTGTTCCCCCATCTCATCCCAATTCTCACTTCCAGCCTTATCTCTTAGTTCCAACCCAACTGTATTGTCTGTTTTTACACTTCTCATGATTTCTGTCTTTGTTCATACACTATCCTATTTCATCTTCTAAAAGGTTTAGGTCCTAAAAACCCTCCTCAATTCAAATTCTCTGAGTAAATATTTATTGCGCTCCTCTTATGGGTCAGGTATTTTGTTAGTCTCTGAGAATATTATGTTAAAGAAACAGACATCATTTTCACGGAGCATATACTCCTAAGTCAGCAGTAAAGTCTCCTCCTTTGAATACCTAAAGTACACCATTGTCTGTCTTCCATAATACAGCTTTTTATAACATCGAGTAACGGGCAGTTTATCTTCCAGACAATATTCAAAGTATGACCTCTGTCCTAGGCATCATTCAGCATACCTCACTCAATTAACAGTAGTTGAGTCAATGCTACAAGCATAAAGAAGCCTCTGAATAAAGAGCTCAGGAATTAATATCAGAAACGCATTAGCTAATCATTTCTTATCAAAGGTGATAAGCTGACCTAGCACTGGTGAGTTATGGCTTTGTAATGTACTGAGGAGGGATGCAGATGGAGAGAGGGAATGAGTGGAGTAAAAACTTCTACATTGATCAAGCTCCCTGCTGGCCAGCTGCTTGGGTTCCTTGAATCCTGGGGGTTGGGGGTGGGGTGGGGTGTGCACTTAACATTGGGGGAACGGGAAGAAGGGAAGGAAAATCAGAAGCTTCAGCTCACCAAAGAGAATAAAATAGACAAGAGAACAAGAAAAAGTTGTTCAATGATGCGGTTGAAGATGAGTGAAGGTATTAAAATTTCACTTGCTGTATTCTATTTTCTCATTTCTGTTTTCTTTGGTAAACAGTGGAAGTGAAAAGAATCGTCACTGCTCCGAATCATCTAATGAAAAGATTTTGATGTAAAATGGATATTAATGCAATTGATTCTGTTAGACTCTCAAATTCTGCAAACTTTATAGGACTTAAGTAAAAGAAGTAAGTGCTGGAAGCACATTATGATGTGGACTCTCATTAAATAGAAAGTACTTTCCCTATTTTATGTATTTTGTATTTGAAGGTCAGCATTTTCCCTACAATAAAATATCTTTGAAACAACTCACAGACGGCCACTAATTTACATTTTAAACAGAGTGCAAATTTCTACAGGAGTTATCATCGTGACTCATTTCTCCCAAGGTTGAATGAGAAATTCAATTCTGTTGATGTTCAGGTAAGAATACTGAAGACCATCTTCATTTCAGGTGCCATTATTTTTGCAAATATCAAAAGGTAAATCACAGTACTATATATAAATTTAGTATTGCAAGATCATAGGTAAGCCTGTGGCTTTTATTATAGGAAGTCAGAGACATGAAAAATTGTACAAAAACTCTGCTTTTATCCTGTTTTTTAAAAATATGAAGCAGATGGAAAACTGCATGTGAAATTAACTTTATACTTGAATAACTAACGAAAGACCATTTTGGGCTTCACATCAGTCACAAAACAAGAAAACCGCTTCACTACATCAAATATTACCCAAGAAAAATTAGAATGAGGGAAATGAGATACTCTTCATCTATAAACAAGGGCTTAACAAGCTCAGCAAAAACAAATTAGACGCTGGGTGAATTTATGCCTCTTGAAAACTGTATATTTCACCTCAAAGCTTCCAGTTGCCCTATCCACCATACTTGAGAATCAAATTCTAAAGAATGAAAACACCAGTCTATGGCTTTTTTGGGTTGGTTTCTGAAAGGAAAAATCTGGAATATTCAGCATGTGGAGGTGGAATAAGGCAGCCGTAGCCTTTACTGAAAAGTCGCCAGTTTATCTGAAAATCTTAGTGATACCTCTAAACTTCAGGTGCTTAAAAAAAAAAAAAATTCAGGTGCTTTCCTTCCACTGCTCCGTCTCCACTCTCACCCTATCCAGAAAATGAAAAAAAAAAAAAAAAAATCCCTTAAATGTGGGGTTGGGGGTATTAATAGTTGTTCCGCGGAGAGAAAGGAAAAGAGAGAGAGAGAAAAGGACACGTGGAAGGAAAGGGACAAAACAGAACCGCGTGGAGGTCGAGCCCCGGGCTGGCGCGCGCGGGGTTCTCCCCTGCCGGCGGGGACCACCCAGCCTCTGACCGCCCACCGCGCCCCGCTCAACCCGCGCTGCCTGGCCTGTGACCCCAGCGCCGCCCGGAGCTCCAGTCCCCCCCGCTCCCGCAGCCCTAGGTCACCGACCTGCGCAGACAAAGAGCAGGACCAACTTCGGAAGCAAGACCCCTGGACACCCGGGCACCCTCCGCGTGTCCATCCAGGCCGGTGGCCGGAGGTGGCGCGCCAGGACAGAAGGACAAGCAGAACCGGTCTGTAGAGAAGGCTGCGAGCCAAGGGCGAGGCCAGCACCGGGAGGGGATGCGGGCGCCCGGGGGCGATCAGATGGAGCGGGCAGCGCTCTGGAACGCGGGGTGGCGCGGTGACCGGGCCATCGCGCTGGGAGCCTTCGTGGGGAGTCCGGGAGGCCGCGCGGGGCTGCGCGGTGGCCGAGGTCTCTTTGTCTGTCCCTGGGGCGGTCTGGCGGCAGGCTGAGCAGCGGATCCAGCGTCCTCGGCCACCCGGGCTCACATTTCATCTTCGCGGGTGGCACCTACGCGAGGCTGGGGGCGGAGGTGGCCCCGACTCCTCCCCACGGTCCGGTTCTTCCTTCTATAGAGTGACTCTCAGAGCTTAGCCCTGTCCTAAAGGAACTTTTTCTAACCTTATGCTCTGACTGTCGGCACGAAGTTCAATAATCTACTTTATCGCCCTGCCCTCCACTCCACAGTTTTTCCTTTGGAGTAATGGATGTTCCCCAAACTTTGTAATTTATCTGTACACAAATGGACGGAGTTTCCAATGTTGAAGATGTTAGATGAAGAAAACTAACGAGGAAAACCTAGGAGAACTGAAAAGTACAGAAACAGTGTATGTTTTTTTCTGTCGAAAGCTGGTAAAGCTTTTGTTATTTGTTAAACACCTAAAACATTTCCAGTAAAGTCAGGGAAAACAAAACAAGATTGCATACTGTCATCACTATTATTTAATACTGTTCTGGAGTTACTGACCTATGCAATTAGATAAGAGAAAGAGGAAAAAAATCATAAAAACTGGAAGGAAATTATCATTTGCAAATGATATGCTTTTTTTATGTGGAAAGTCAAAGACAGACAACTAGAGTTGACTAAACAATCAATAGTTTTCTCTCATGCAAATAAAAATCAGAACGTTATCAATTTTATACACAAAGGAGAAGAAAAGACACAAATAAGTGAATAGAGAGTCTCTTGACTAAGAAAATTAAACATAATAAAGGTAAGAATTCCCCCCCCCCCCATTAATCTATAAATCTGGAAATTAAACTCGCAGTTCAGCTGGTAAAGAATCTGCCTACAATGTGGGAGATCTGGATTGGATCCCTGGGTTGGGAAGATCCCCTTGGGGAAGGAAGCTGGCTACCCACTCCAGTATTCTGGCCTGGAAAATTCCATGGACAGCATAGTCCATAGGGTCTCAAGGAGTCGACGGGACTAAGCAACTTTCACTTTCTCTTAATAAAAATATCTATTTTTTTCAAAACTGTCTAATTATAGTCTATTTAGAAAATAACCAAGTAAGACAATCAATTTAAAAAAAAGAGTGGGAATGGAATAAGCCTCAATAGATAATAAATATAACATCACAATAACTGAAACAGTTTGATCAACACTAAAATAGATAGGTTCAATGGATCAGAATGGAGATTTCAAAAATAGAGATATACATGCAGAAATTTAATTCATGGTTTTAAAAAAAGTATTATTTTAAAATAATAAAGGAGGAAATTATGGGTTATTCAGTGAATGTTTTAGGGTCATGAGTAGGCATCTGTGAAGTCTTATTTCCTTTCATCAAAATCAGTTCTATATGAATTAAATATTTAAGCTTAAGGATACAATCATGAAAATACTAGGTAAAAGAATGAGAGGGTGACATTTAAATAACTATCAAATAGAGAAAGATTTTCTAAACATTATTTAAAAACTCAGAAATCACAGAAGAAATAATTGAGCAATTTGATTACATAAGAATTAAAACATTCTGTAGATAGCAAGCCAGGTATTTAACTGTTAAAAATATTTGCAATGCTTAGGCTACAGAGACCTGATCTCTTCACTAGATAAAAAGCTTTTAAAAATTATAAGGAAAAGAAAATCACCAATAGACAATTGAGCAGGGAGATTAATAGTCTTCCAAACACTTAGAAGAGGTTCATTCTTACTCTCAAAAAATTTTTTAAAAAGTAAAAATCAAAATGACAGCAAGACATCATTTTTCATGTATTAGGTAGCCCCCACCCCCAAATCAGTTTTAAAAGACAGCACTGTAGCCATATGTATCAAAATTCAAATGCACACTCTTTAGTCAGTCCTTCTTTAGGAATTTATAAATATACTGCTACATGGGTATTAGAGGATGCAAGGATACAGCATCTCCAAAACAAATATGGCCCACTGAGTTTTATGCATCATTGGAGAGTTAATCATCCACCAGGTTTACCAAAAAACCTGGTCAATGTCTTCTTTTCTTCAGCCCCAATAACCAGTCTACCACTAGGTACCACTGATTGTACACCCATCCCCACCCAGCTGTATTTGTATTTTAACCTCCATTTCTGCCCTAATCTAGGCTCTTATAGTCTCCATTATAGCCACTCTTCCTGCCCCCAGGGATATGAGCAGACTGAAGCTAGATTATTTCTTCTTAAACTACAGATTTAATCACATTTATTCACCTGTTTAAAATTCAGTGGATTCCTGTTGCCCTGTTGGATTTAAATTAAATCCAAACATTTAATCCCTGGTTTTTGAGAAACTTCATCTCTTGGTCCAATAGGTCTCTACCTGGTCTCAACATTCTGCCAAAGAGCACAATGTTTAAGCAACTGGGTGAATGATTGGAGCATAGAGGAAATCCCAGATATACAGGATGTCAAGTTCTAAAAAAAGAAGATACAGGTGTATGTCAGTATTTGCAGAGCTGGAGATGGTATGAAGGATTCTTGGAATTGAGTGATGCTTAATTCTGCAAATGAGGCTGGACCCAGAGTCTGGAGTGGGAATGGGCAGCTGGTGATGGAAGAGGCACCTGTTCCTGCATGGTTATTGCATACAGCTCTGGAAGGGGCTGGTTTTGCCATTGCAGCCAGAAGGTCAGAGTAGCCTTTCCCAGCTTACTTTTGAGAGGAAAGAGCTTTCTCCTCGTACAGTTCAAGCAACTGACCAAATAATGCTTGCCTACTGGTTCACTACTGCAAAAGAAATTCTGCCTTAAAATACTCAGGTGCTTAGGAGGCCCTACTCAATTGACAGTCAAAGATAAAGAGTGATATCAAGCCATTTAAAGAAATGCAGTAGCTTTGAAGGAAAAACTTTAAAAGTAGATACATGTATATGTGTATACATATATACACATGTATACACAAATTTATATGAAATAAGAAACCTTAAGAGCATGGCATTGGAGGGCATAGAAGAGTTTCTGGAAATTTGGCTTGAGATTTTTTTTTTTTAAATCACAGTAGAATTATAAAATGCTCACTTTCAAAAACAGCTTAGACCATTCAGTCAATAGAGAACATATTGGTAACATAGAGAATGAATACAAAGATATGGAAATCATGGATAAAAATATTTTAAAATATCAAGGCACATAGAGGAGGTCCAATATGAGAATAACATGCAAGCTCGAAGCAGTTTTAGAAAAAACGAACATAAAGAGATTTTTAAAAAAATTCCGAGCTATAATATTTGAATTTTCAGAGTTAAAATGGAGAGTGTATATATGCCAGTCCTAATCTCCCAATTCATCTCGTGCTCCCCTTCCCTGACCCCATGTCCACATATCTGTTCTCTATGTCTGCATCTCTATTCTTGCCCTGCGAATTGGTTCATCTGCACCATTTTTCTAGATTTGACATGTGTGTTAATGTACAGTATTTGTTTTTCTCTTTCTGACTTACTTTACTCTGTAAGACAGACTTTACACCCATTCACATCTCTACAAATGACCACATTTTGTTCTATTTCATGGCTGAGTAATATTCCATTGTGTACATGTACATCTTCTTTATCCACTCATCTGTCGGTGGGCATTTAAGTTGCTGTCATGTCCTGGCTATTGTAGATAGTGCTGCAATGAACATTGGGGTATGTGTGTCTTTTTAAATTATGATTTTCTCATGCTTTATGTCCAAGAGTGGGTTTACTGGGCCATATGGTAGTTCTATTTTTAGTTTTTTAAGGAACTTCCATCCTGTGTAAATTAGGTAGCTAGTGGGAACCTATTTTACAGCACGGAGCTCAGCTGTGTGCTCTGTGATGACTAAATGAGTGGGGTGGGGAGGGGGGAAGTTCAAGAAGAAGGGGCTACATGTTTACATATAGCTGATTCACCTCATTGTACAGCAGAAAGTAACACAACATTACAAAGCAATTACACTCCAATAAAAAAAGTTTTAAATGGTGAGCAGGTTCCAAGAACTTTTTAAAAAAAGAATCACATCCCATACGTATCCCAGAGACATATTTGAACTTGCATAACTTTAAAATCATATAAATTTTTGTATATAATTTTAAAAAGATCTCTTACTTTTAAAATATTTTTTAAAAGAAAAAGAAGCAGGCAGGCATCAGACTTGAAATCTAAAAAAGAAGTGAAAATATTTCCAAACCATTAAAAGATTAAAAGAATCCTATTCCCAGATCAGATTCTGTTAATATTTGAGTTTATGAAGATATTTATAACCATGTTTATATCATTTTTTTTGGTTATCATTTTAAAACATGGTAAAGTGCTTGCATGTCCAACAGAGGTAGAACATTTAAATAAATTTGCATGTTATAGCCAAACTTTAAAATGATGGGAAAAATCCACAAGATATACAGTTAAAAGGAAAAATGGGAAAGGAAAACTGGAAGTAATCCATGGATAAACAAATTGTGCTATATCTATCCATACAATGAAACACTCCTCAGCAACAAAAGAAAATTTGAAGTGTATGCAACAATACAGATAAATGTCTGTTAAGAATATGCTGAGCAAAGAAGCCAGGCACAAATAAATCACTGTTTTATTTTGTTTATGTGAAATTCTAGAAAGGCATGATTAATCGGTAGTGACAGAAGGCAGATCAAGGATTGCCTGGGGGTAGGAAGAGGAAATTGATGACAGAAGGTTAAGAGGGAGCTTTTGAGGGGTGATGGAAATCTTCTATATCTTGATAATGGTCGCTCTTCTACAGGTGTACACATGTGCAGAAGTCATGGAGCTGTACACTTAATGGTACACTTAAAATGTGTATGTTTTACTGTATGTAAATTTTACCTCAGAGAAGTTGATTTTGCAAAAGCTTTGCTACTTCATAATGGGGGATAAGAGCATATACATGCTTTTTAAAAAGCTACTTTTGACTACTGAAATTTTAACTACTGGCTATTTCATAATTTTCCCAAATAGTCACATATTGCTCTACATAACTCTTAAAATATGATAAATCTAGTTTTAAAGCAATAGTAGGTTCATCATTTGCAGTATCATTCTGTCATTAATTCATGT